GTTCAACGTAGATTGCGCAGCGGTTCCGAACTATTATGGAATCAACGAAGATCTCTACAGGGTACCACCTTCTTACAAGCAGAATCAAGATCAGTAGAAATACCTACCTCATCCGAATATTTTTGTACATTTACTACAAGTTATAATATGAAGATTTATTTATTCTTATTTTTATAAATAAATCATTTTTATAAAGAAACCGTTATTTCTATAAACGGAATTAACTCATCTCTGATGCTTGGCCAATCCCAAATTAGTAATTGGCCAATTTCCGATTTCCTTTCTTCAACTCTATCAATCCTCAATTATATTCAAAAAGTATGATATTTTAATAACAGCAGTATCAATAAAATTATTCCAAAGCAAGCGAATATGAAATTAGAATTCAATCAAAATTAACAATTTCATGATTATTATCTCTGATTGGCTACCAATACTTGGAATTATACTTCATGAAAGATAATGAAAGAGTATATGAATATTTTCCCCAAGTTCAGTTTGATCATCCATGGATAATCGTTTTCCTCAAATAACATGTAGGTGTAATAATAATGATTCATTAAATTTCGCATTTCGACCTATGACAACTGTGAATGATCACCTTGCTCTCGAAACAGTACATTGCTTTATCAGTACCCAAAGTGACATTTCGTTTGACAAGAAAAATATACGAGTCAATCTGACTCACTTTCGATCCACAGGCTATTTTTCCCGCAACCAAAATAATTGATATCCAATCAATATAATATAAGTGAATGAATGACTCATCCTGACTCAAACTTGTCAATGATTTCAGAAATTTTCGAGGGCCTGTATTCCTCACTCTTCATAGATTTTTTCGTAATCCCATACTGTTATTTTGATTTAACGGTAATAATGTTAACAGCCTCCGTCCGTGAATTTTAGAATGTTTTGCAAAGACCAAAGCTTATGAATGAATAGTGAAGAATACCATACAATGGGCCTTCGGAAATTTCCCAAATCATTGACAAGTAATCCTGTCAAACGATCAGGTCCATCGATAGTTCATCGATTTTGAATTACGAGATCAATGAAGATGCATCAAAAATTGGAGCTGACTATTTCAAAAAATAATAATAAAAGGTCAGTCAAATTGCATGAGCAGTCGTAAAAAGTAGGTCACTTCATTTATTTTTTCCGCTCTATTCAGATATTGAAACAAATCTACAGAATTTTGCCATACAGAGTGTTGTAACATATATGAAAAAATGTATATTTTACCTAAAGAGGGTCACAGTGATTCACACGAGACCAACAAGACGAGACTTTATGAAAGTCTCGTCTCGTCTCGCCGATGGAATATAAAGTCTTGTCTCGAGTCTCGTCTCGCAGCTTCAAGTCTCGTCTTGTCTCGCGTCTCGTACGAGAGTCTCGCAAATGTATCGCAATTTCTTCACGCATAATCTTTTTCCAGTCCAGTACGGGATATTCACCTTTACCTACTTTTTAGGTATGATGTATAGAAGTAGGGCGAAAAAATTACAACAAAAATAACATTATTTATTGGAAAGTGAGTTCCTATAATAGGTTCATACTTACATCATAAATATAAACAAGAACAAAAACATAGCATTATTTATATTCGAAAGATAAAGAAATAAAAGTAACACGTATAGTCTAAACAAATATACAAAATAAAAACTTTTATCCAACATTATTTTAATTATTTTAGAAACAGGTATCTAAGAAAATAGTTATTTGTTTTACTAGGCAGAAAAGTAGTAGATTGACTCCCGCGGCTGATAGTTCATAGCCGAGCGTAGCGAGACCAGGAATTCAGCCAAGGCAGTCAATCTACATTTGCTGCCGTGTGAAACATAAAATTTTTTCTCCAAATGATATAAAATCAATTTTGTGTAATTTTTCATTGAAAACTCGATCATGTTGTGTTCACCCAATATCAGTTTCAATTTTGATTACTAATTTCATCAGAATGTCTTGGAACGTTGCATAGCAACAAACATTTTTTGCCTAGGCAGTAAAAGTACACCCTTTCTGCCTGTCAAGCGGCAGGAAAAAGCCACTATCCCTGCCGCTTGGAGAAAATAGTTATTCGTTTTACTAGGCAGAAAAGTAGTAGATTGACTGCCGCGGCTGAAAGTTCAATTCAGGAATTCAGTCAAGGCAGTCAATTTACATTTGATACCGTGTGGAACATAGAATTTTTTCTCCAAATGATATAAAACCAATTTTGTGTGATTTTTTTATTGAAAACTCCATCATGGAACGTTGCATAGCAACAAACTTTTTTTGTCTAGGCAGTAAAAGTACACCTTTTCTGCCTGTTGAGCGGCAGTAAGAAGCCACTATCCCTGCCGCTTGACAAAAAAACCTTTATCAGCCAGATCAGCCTTCACGATCGCAAATGTTTTTGTTTTTCACCCAGTCGTTATGACATAAAGTTATTCTTTATCCCAGACTATTTAGCACATAATGACTTATTTATAGATTTTCAGGTAGTCATTCAATTTGCGATCTGTCGTTATTGCAGGATTGCCTTTATATTCCGCCGCCGTAAGAGAGAGAATAGTCCGTTTTTGTTTCACGCATTACGTCATTTTACAACAATCATGGATTGTGTTTTTAAAGTATTCATGAATGAAATGATTTGTCTATCTGTGCTAAATAGTCTGAATTCTTTCTCAATATGTTGTTTTATGAATGAAATTCTCAAGTCGGCACGCAGAAATATTTACCTGCGAGACTCTCACACGAGACACGAGAAAGTCTTGCACGAGACTCGAGACGAGACCAATGAAAGTCTCGTCTCATCTTGTCCGAGTCTCGTCTCGAGTCTTGTCTCGAAAACGAGACGAGACCATGCGAGACTCTCGAAAACGAGACTCTCGCGGGAACCACTAGAGGGACCTGGATTCCGATCACTATTTCTATTTAGTTTCCATGGGAAATATAATCATAATATATCTACCAAGTATGAATAGATTATACGAAGTGATTAAAAAATTATAACAATTTTGCCACAATCAAGATAACTTTCTATATGTCAGTTATAAAAGAGGGTAGACACATCAATTGGGGGTGATTTGGAACCATCAATGTGAGATGTTTCAAAAAAGTGTCCTTTATCTACAGGGTGCTTGGCTAACCGGCCTATATCTAAAACGTGGTAATACGTAAGAATATTTCGAATATATTTAACCATGATACATACAATTATTCAAAGAGTTACATATACGTTTTTCATTAATATTGAACACCTAATGAGATCTAACTGTGATAAAACATGTTTTGGCGCGTTGGAATTCAAAACACGTATTCCTGTAACATCCAAATTCGAATTCATAAGCAATGATTTCTCGAAAAATGTAGCACTTTGTATACAGTGTGTCCGAAATTCGATCCTCACCATTGGGATCTCGGTAACAATGAAAGATCGAGAGTCGGTCAAATTACAAAAGTTCAAGAAAATTCAATCTTGATTCAGAGTCCATTAAGAGATCTAGACAGACTAGATTAAGTAATTTTCGAGTTTTTCAAGAAACACTGAAATTTTGTATTTTTGATCTCCAAAATCTCGAAAATTATTGATCATATATGATGAAACGACTTTAAGATTCTCCAAGTGATCTTTCAAATGGTTTTGTCAGTTTTTGTTAGAAATTTCTGAGAAATGACCTCCAACTTATTTTTCTTCCTTCTCTTTTTCTTCAAACATCGACAAAACCATTCAAAAGATCACTAAAAAGTACTATCATAATGTTGAAGTCATCTTTTCATACAATAGTTTTCGTTTATATATTGTACAGGGTGATTCACCATAAATGTCCCCCCCTCTAGCTCAGTTATTTTTGAACCGATTTCAAAATTTGGAATATCTCAAATGATTTTTGATAAAGTTTTTTTTCCGCTATATCAGAAAATACAGGGTGCTCAGAATAAACGATCTACAGGGTACTATTTGATTTTTTTAAATGGAACATCCTATTTTTCATTGTATTTTTAGATTCTCCTTGAAGAGCTGATCTGATCAATTTATCATACTTGGGGTCTAGCGGTAATGATTACAGAGATATAGGGTGTTCAAAATAGAGATTTTTTAACTTTAGGATTTTTTGTGACCGGTCAAAACTGCTTTCATGTCCGTATCTCAACTTTTGATTTACTATCTACTGACATTTAATAATTAAAACAGATACCGGGGGGTCAAAATTCTGAATCTTGAACCACCCTGTAAATGTTTCAATTAAATGTCAGTAGATAGTAAATCGAAAGTTGAGATAGGGATATAAGAGCCGTTTTGATCAATAATGAATAGTTTCGACACAAAAAAATCCTGAAGTTGAAAAATCTCGATTTTGATCACCCTATATCTCTGTAATCATTACCGCTAGACCCCAAGTGTGATACATTGATGAAATCAGCTCTTCAGGAATAATCTAAAAATATAATGAAATAAAGGGTGTTCCGTTTGAAAAAATCAAGTAGTACTCTGTAGATCATTTGTTCCGAGCACCCTGTATTTTCTGATGCAACAGGTAAAAAATGGCTACAAAATTATTTCAGATTATTTCTCAAATTATAAATTGGTTAAGAAATGAGTGAGCTAGAGGGGGGGTCATTTATGGTGAATCACCCTGTACCAGTATTTTACCTGATGAAGCTACTGTGTTAGAGAAACATGTCGTCTGATTGAGAATTTTGTGAAAATCTTATAGTTTGTGATGTTCTCACATGATTGAATATAATCAAAATCCCATAACCCTCCACCTCCTTTCGACTATCCGTCGGTGAACCAAACACCCTGTAAAGGTTTCGTATGTACATTCAAATATGAAATACCAAGTATATCAATAGTAGGATCAAGTCTCCTGTAAATTACACACGTTGGAAAAATTGACATTTCCTTGACAGTTATACAAATATATTTTGAAATATTATACACATTTGTATGGATAGCATCCTACTCGTATGGTTCTGAACACGATGGACATACTTATGAGCCCAAATGATAAATTTCGATGCATTTGCATGACTTGAAATAGTGAGTAGAATCGACTACATCTTGAACCTATTCAATAACCTTCTTGTTGTAGCTGGATAGCTCTCATAGTCTTAATAGCGAGCGTCGTCCATATATCTTGCTTAGTAAATAGTTCAGCCAGTTTTTATCTGAACGAGGTGGCAGATTTCGACGACATAGTCGAGCTAGATAACGAAAAGGAGAAAGTCAACTTTGAGGAACTATCTGCGAAAAATCCGGACTTCGAGGCACCCGAAGAGGAAGGGCCTGACCCTCTCAAAATTAATCTAATTGAAGCGCCATCGAGAGTGAAAACGGATGTTCGCGGAGTCCAAAATAAACTATTGAACTCTCCTTATTTGGGTCCATCAACTCATCATAGTGCGGAACATTATAAAAATAGTTTAGGACAATTTCCACAGCCTAAAGGGAAATTGAATATTTTCGAGTCACCACTGATATATGAGGTACAAGATGACAATCCTCAACAAGGTTATTTCTTGGTGAAACAAAGGAAATCAGACGATCAACCAAAATATAAGAAATCAGGAAAAGGTATTCATGAGGGTGGTGGTGAGCAAAATCTCCACCACAACATGGGAAATGTTTTGGAAACAGAGTCTCAACAACCTGAAAATTGTGTGGAAGAAAAGTTGGACCAAAAATCCAAAACAAAATTGATCGCATCAGGTAAATCAAATATTTCATTGATAACGAAACTATTTCAATACTTTGTAAACAAATAAGAAAAGTGAGGATGTTCGAAAGGTTGTGAACATTCATAGGAATTCTGACACATATTTCAGTCATGACATTTACCACTGACTTCCAAATATTCATTCACTTGAACAGAGACCCACGTATTTTTCACAGCAGCTGAGATGTCTTCCATTTTCAAAGAAAACATCATACTTCTTTACAGTCAAACCATTTTAAGGCACTAGAGGATAATTTTTTCTTGGCGATTTATGGACTGGAAAGTACTCCATCAGTTAATACCCCTCGACGAGACTTATTTATACAGGGTGAGCCACCAGTAACGCCTCGCCCTCTATACCTTTTCAACTTCAATTTCGGAATCGGTAAGTTAAATTCCGGAAAAAGTAATCTCGATTTCAGAAATGGTTAGTTCGATTTCAGAAATGGTAAACTCAATTTCAGAATCGCTGAGATGAATTTCAGAAAAAGTCCATTCAATTTCAGAAATGGTAAGTTGTATTTCAGAATTGGTAGGTTCAATTTCAGAAAAAAAAACCTTATATTTGTTTGAAATGTTTTTAATTGCAAAAGAAAAGATTGTTTACAATGGATGAAACGGTGTTTGTGAGCGTGCGTTCGAAATGAGCATCCTGCAGATACCATAGTGGTAGTTCTGGATAATGCACCTGCACATTCAAGAATAGAAGAGATGTGCATGCAGGAAGAATTTAAAAGTCAGAAATGAAGAGCTTTTTGCAAGAGCATCGCCAAATGGTCGAAGCTGGGAATCAAAACAGATGGAATTCAGACTGCGATGTCTTGAAAAATGTGCAGATCATTCAATGAGAATGATAACACCTCGAATGTGTTTGCATTCTTATAATCATGTGCAACTCCACTATCCTTCTGCGATTCGGATGGAAGACATATCTGTGGATTGAATTGAGATTATAATTATGTTATTGAATTGTTTTCGAAAAGTTGAATATTGTAAATATAGCTTGTTAATTTCACATGCAATTAAAAACATTTCAAGCAAATATAAGGATTTATTTTCTGAAATTGTACCTACAAATTCTGAAATACAACTGACCATTTCTGAAATTGAATGGACTTTTTCTGAAATTCATCTCACCGATTCTGAAATTATTTATTTATTCATTTTATTTATTTATTTATTGAACAAATAACTTCCAGACAGAATAGGCTCTGGTATAAGGAAGTACATAATTATATACCTATAGGTAAACATATCATTTTACAAAATATATCAACAACTGTAAATTGACAAACAAAGAATAATATAACTTACCGATTCCGAAATTGAAGTTGAAAAGGTATAGAAGGCTAGGAAGTTGCATGTCAACCTAGACCATTTGAAATTATTTCAAACATACAGGGTGTTCTCAAAAAATCACAATACACTGAAGTTATACTTTTTTTAATGGAAACACCCTATGAATTTTTGCATTTTGAGATCTCCCTGAAGGGTTGATTTCAACGACTCATCATGCCTGGGGTCTAGCATTGATAATTACTGAGATATAGGGTGTGAAAAATCGAGATTTTCCAAGTTCAAGAATTTTTTGTGTCGAAACTATCCATAATTGATCAAAACGGTTAACATGTCCCTATTTCAACTTTTTATCCACTATCAATTGATATTAAATTAAAACAAATACTGGGTGGTTCAGAATCAAGATTTTTGACCACCCTGTATCTATTTCAATGAAATACCAATCGATAGTAGAAACTTGGGGAATCCCAATTTTTCACACCCTATATCTCAGTAAATATTACTGCTAGACCCCAAGTACGATGTGTCGTTAAAATCAGCTCTTCAGGGAGATTCTCAAAATAGAATATATAGTGTGTTACATTAAAAAAAGTATAACTTCAGTGGATTGCTTTTTGGGGACACCCTGTATGTTCCGAAATGATTTCAAATGGTAGCCTAGGTTGACATGCAACGTCTTAGAGAGGAAGATTCCCAAGAAGATGAGTATGATTACCCTTCTATATAGAGAGCGAGAGGCGTGTGGCCCACCCTGTATGTATATACATTCACCTAGTTCCCTAAAAAATCTGTTCACGCAATGATAAATAGCAAATTGTTGTTCTAATTCATTATACATGAGCTTTCACGTGCTCAATTTTATTCATCTGAATTTTTATCATTCCTGTTATATGTTTATTATCATATTAGTCCAAGATCCCACGAATGCCAGATCTTCCATAGTTTATAAAAGCTGTAAGTTTCTCAGCGTATGCTCCCAACACAGGTAAGAACGATTAGCAAATATGAAGTTTGGTCATGGTGCCTTTGGGAGGTTACAGGGAGCAAAGGTGCTAAAATTACAAACTTTCTTTCGTCATACTATGAAGGTTTTTTTTTTATATTTCATTCGGAATAATATTAGAAACTACGTCATCCATTATCAGATACGTTACCATGGTGCCTACCCCTTGCCAGACACCCTTAAACTTTGATGAATTGACACTTAACTTCCGTTAAAGTATACAGGGTGGACCAATAGTGTGACCAAGCGAGATGCAGCTCTGCTATCAGAGATGGCGAAACAACATTTTTATAGGAGTTGTAGGTCCAAGAAAAAGTGTGACATTTCAAACTTATGTTTTTTATCTCAACTTTTGATTTACTATCTACTCATATTTAATTGGAACAGATACAAGGTGGTGCCTAACTCAGAATTCTACACCACCCTGTATTTGTTTCAATTAAATGTCAGTAAATAGTAAATCAAAAGTTGAGATAGGGATCTGAAAGTCGTTTTGACCAATAATGAATAGTTTGGTCACAAAAAATTTCCAATGTTGAAAAATCTTGAATTTCCACACCCTATATCTCGGTAATCATTCCTGCCAGACCCCAAGTGTCCTAGATCGTTGAATTCAGCTCTTCAGAGATAATATAAATATGCAATGAAGTACAGAGTGTTCCATTTAAAAAAACATAAGTTTGAGATGTCACACTGTAGAATAGAGAATGATTTTAAAATATGCATCTCTTGGACTTACAACTCTTGTAAATTTTTTGTTGTTCTATCTCTGATAGCAGAGTTGCTATCTTGCTTTGTCACACTATTGGTCCACCCTGTAGATGCTAAATTTCATAAATGTTACTTGGATTACAATCAGAAGATGTTTCCTCAGTAGACAGACCGTTCTAGTGGTGCTAACCCCCAGCCAGACAAACATACAGTGCTTTCGTAAAGTACTTACTGAATAAATTAATTCTCAGTCATTCTATCAATTTCCGAAAAATCTCTTGGAATAGGTCGACTTTTAAATGTCAATTTGCCACATTCATACGGGGAAATTGAATATACCGGGTGATCCACGTCGGAATTATCATGTCCGCGACAAATATTTCAAAAGGAACACGCTATATATTATTAAATTTTTGGAATCTCCTAAGAAACCTGACATCAAACATAATATATCTCTCATAGGGTTTGTATACAGTGCGTCAGTTGAATTCAGTGCCCTCTCAAAGTACAGTGGATAAATTCGTGAAGGCTTTAATAAATTAGGAAGAAAGCCCAGATAAAAAATTATGTTTCCATTTTTTGAAGTATTTTTCACTATGAAATATCTTTTAATCTAGCTCACCATGGAGATTCCAAAAATTTGATAATGTATAGAGTGTTCCATTTGAAAACTTTATCGCGGACGTCGCATGAATCAGACGTGGATCACCCTGTATATTCAATGTCTCCACACAAATATGGAGAAATGAAAATAAAATTCGACATTTTCCAGTAGATTCCTCAGAAATGAATAGTTTGGCTAAACATTAATGTATCCACTATACTTTACGAGAATCTTTGATGTAACGGACTCACTGTATACAAATTACAAATCCTATGTGTGATATGTTTAAATTCAGCTTTCGTCTTTCCGTGGAGATCATAAAATTGAATGATAAAGAGCGTGTTCCATTCGAAATAATTGACGCGGATATCATAATTCCAAAGTGGATAACTCGGTATATTCAATTTCCCCGTAAGAATGTGGCAAGTTGAAATTGAAAGTCGACCTTTTTCAAGAGATTCTTCAGAAATGGATAGTTTGACTGAGAATTAATTCATTCAGTACTTTACGATATCACTGTATGTCTGTCTACCACCAGAACGGTCTAAAATCAAAGGATTTTCATTTGCATATAATAGCACTGTATCGTCTGCGAATATGGTGTGATGACATGATAAGTTGATTTGGGATAAATTTTGTATATAAATATGCAAATTTGTAAAGCATACTTTTATTATATTGCAGATCCTGGTCTTGATATGAAGAAACCTGATACTTTTTGCAATCAGCTTTTCGAAATTTTCCATAAAATTCCACAAATTGTGAAACAGTTAGCAGACAGTACAGATCCACAAACACGAAACACCAACTGGAAATCTATAAAATGCATAATTCGCCAGCAAAATCCCAATTTTGCAAGATCTGGTATTTTGGATAGACCTGAAAGCAAGAACTGCTTTCAAAAATTCATACGAAGGAGGAAACGACACTCAACATATATCAACTTTAGAAATCGAAAGAAAAAATTTAACAATAATCTGGCCAAAAGAAATGCTCCTGATGATTCTCGATTCAAGAATATAATCGATTTTATTATTAAGAATAAATCATTCCGTAGTAATTATACATATGTACCAGTACTTTTTGCAACCGTGAAGAGTGTTGATTTGAATCAATTGGAAACGTCAGAAATATCTCCAGTAACTGATGGGTCGTCAACAGAAAACTTATCCCTTCAAACATCATCATCTTCAGCAAGCAAATCAACGAATATGTCATCAACGAACTCTCTATTGATGTCATCAAACAACACGATATCTGGAATAACTACAGTTAAAACTGACAATACCGAATCAATGAAACCAACAATATCTGAAGGAAGCACTTCCACTATTATTCATTCCGATAGTTCTGCTGGGGGAAGTGCAACTGCTACTTTCACATTAGTACCTGCAATGAAGGAAGCAAAAAACCTGACAGAAGAACTAAGTTTTCGAATTCCAAGGTTACGAGAAAGTTTTCAAGATATCATGGATCTGATGAAGGATGAACCTATTGCAAAAAGGATGAAGAAAGAAATTTCTGACTCAGCAAGCACCACTAATGTAGCTGAAGGCAATTCTATAGGGTCTACTAGAAAAAATGATACAACCCCATCAAGTCCACCTAGTAACTCAACCGTTCCAATAACCACAACTGTTATTTCTACAGTGAACCCAGAAAGTATCAATCCTTCAATCTCATCTACTGAACATGTGCCATTCCCGAGTGAAAGTCATTTCAACTTCACTATCAGTGACAAAAGCTCTACTAAGATAATTGATAAATTAGAATTGAAACTACCCTTCTCTGGAACGGATATGAAAACCATGATAGCAAATGGTTCAGTGTGTGCTACCAAACTATCTAATGTAACTTCTTCATTTCCAATCGATGGGAATGTTATACCAGGGGTACTGATATATCCGATCAATTCCGAAACTCTCAATAATAAGAGCAAGAGAGGAATCCAAGAGGAAGAAGAATATTCTGCAGAAAACAAATTGGGAGGAGAATATTCAGCAGAAAATAATCTGGGTATCAATTATTACTTCACAATAGACGAACCGAATTTGAATGCGAATAAAAAAGTGAGTAGATATGTCGTAAATATTTATGGAGTATTCATTTGATCTTAATGAATTTTTATTTTCAGTACATTGATTTCAATCCTCTACCAAAACTGAAGAAGGATGTATTGAATGATTGCCAGAATGAAACAGAAGAAATGTTGAATGTACTTAAGAGCTTGAATATGAAAGTACCAGATGAAATTGAGAATAGCAAAGATAAATTTGGTCCTGATTTGACAAATTCTACATCCAATATCGTACCAAATACAACAGAAACTGCTAGTATTACTGAACTTTCTACAGAAACTACAAATGTTATGGATTTCAACTCATTGTCTGGTATAAACATCAGCAGTTTAATGGAAACAAATCCAATTCCAAATGTCATCAAACCTGTTGCTAATATTAATAAAATGAAATTGTTCAATTCATCCAACGTTGAAACAACAATAGACATCGATGCATGGTGTGCCACATCAATTGGAGCAGCGAACGAAATCATACCTTCCATAACCATTCCATCCAGATCTGCAAAAACAACAACTCCTTCAAGCACTGATACGTTTTCTACAATAATTTCTTCCGAAACTCCTGAAATATCGACAAAATCTGAAACATCGACACTACCCGAAACATCGCCACTACCCGAAACATCGAAAACATCGACTACTTTTCCCATTGCGACTCCTATCCTAAATGGAGAACTGGTGAAAGAAGTTCATAAGCCTTCACTGCAAAAGAAAAATACAGCTGATAAGTTGAGACAACTCGAAACAGATTTGAAACTCGTCAATGAGGTACAGAATATTCTGAACGGAATGAATGGACCAAAGCATGAGATGAAGAAAAGGGAATTATCTTCTGATCAAACGGATTGCACCACAGAAAACAATCCAATTTTTGAGCTCAATTTCAAGGTCGTTTCGGATAACCCAGAATCATACAAAGACAAAGAAATAAATGAACTTGGTAAAATCCTCCAATTGAAAGCTAAAACTGAGAAATGTCGAAGACGAAGACTCTCGAAATTCCAAAGAGAAAAGATGAAAAAGAAAAAGCGAAAGAAGAAGAGGAAACAAAAACCCCATCGTATACACCGTTTTTTAGGCCAGCGTATTCAAAATTGCATGTGAATAAAATACACTCAGAAAATCAAAACTATGCTAGAGATGGTTCAAAAAGTAAACGTTTCCTCAGCCCTTCGAATAGTTTCTACAACAATGGAAAAATAAATGAAGTCATATCGGAATCAACTACCGACAAACTGAATTCCGATCAAATCATAAAGCATCTGCCACAAAACTCATCTACTTCTGGAACAAAAAAGAAAAAGGTAACAAGGAAACATAATGATAAAACAACCCTCAATATAAAGCATTCAAATGAAAAAAGTTCATTTAGAAAAATGATGGCATCTACTGAAGCATATAATAAATCCTCCAGAAAAGTATGGAGGAAGTATAACTTGGATATCAAACATCACAAGAATATCAACGAGGAAGAATACTATACTACAGAGCATAAAGGTGGGTTTTGTTCATTATTTGATTAAACATATAAGTTCATTATCTCAATGAAATCTGTGAAATTGCTGTCACGAATCCATAAACGGTTTTCCAAATTATAGGTCTGTTCGAACATAATAGGCATTCTTTATACCAGTTATAAGGAATGGAGTTTTAAAGAATGATATTTCGTCCTTTTCGATTGAATAGACTAGGATAATTCAAAAGTTAGAATAGGTATAATCTTTCCAAGTCAGTTGGAGCAATAAATGTCCAGCCACGTTTCATACTCGGTCCAATTGAATTTCAGACGGACCGACAGCGCGCGGCGTATATTTTTTGCTGGATGAATCCTTCATTGCCTTATGGTAGATATACAGGGTGTTACATAATTCAATACAAATATTTTAATGACATATTCCTGGGGTCAAAATAAGACTTTTTTTCTGTGACGGGAAAAAAGTTTGGCATTTCATCCCTGTTAGCAGGTTATAAAATGTCACTTTTCATAAATTACTTTTTTCCCGTGGGAAAAAAGTGAGTACTTCTTTCCCGGATATATATCACACATATATACACTGTTGATGGCTTTTGTTGTGCTATAGTTCCGAAAAATGAGTCAATAATACCGTCTCCGAGAAAGAACTGCAAGTCCTTTTATCTTCCATTCGACTTCGCGGTTACGTATATTTCTAAATAACCACTGGATTCGCAATTTCTTGAAATAAAATCACAAAATTAGACTGACAGAAGTGACATCAGATATTTGATTACTTCAAATGAATGATAAAGATGCCTACAACGCGGTGTCCCTACTGTTAAAAACTTATAATTTCACGTCGATAATTTTCAGATATCAAAATAATGTAATATCTTCTCAACATTGATTCGTCCTTTCTTCTGTCACAGAAAAAAATAGTGTATTATACACGGGAAAAATATCAGATTTTAGCTCACGGTTTGTTGTCTCCCTCCGCTACGCGTCGGGAGACAACACAACCTGGAGCTAAAATCTACTACTTTTTTCCCTTGTATAATAAATAACTATTTTACCTATAAACATGTGTCCTAAAATCCACCCCCTCCAAGCTACAGACATCGCGTGTAATGGTAAGTTGAGGAAAGTGAATCGATTGTGACATGACGGTTATGACATACCACAATGTCAGTTTGGCATAAAAGATATTAATTAATCATTAATTACCAGAGACAAACATAATCATAGCTCACTTAGTTTTTTTAGTATAATAATTTGAAAATACACCCCTTTCATTTACTAGCGATTTTCTCTAAACCCAGCCAACCATGAGATGTATAAGTGATGTATACGCCACATCACTTTGTGACATGCGATATCGCATTTGAAGTCACAAACATGTTACCGATACAACGTGGCGATGTGAAAATGTCCGACTCGAGCAACATCACTGTGACGTCGTTCAGACATGAAATGCGACATCACATGAAAAATCACTACCAGGTCACACACAAGTGTACATTTCATATTAGAAATACATCACACTGCGACATCGATGATGTGGTCGCCGTACCTGTGATATTCGTGGGATATATAATAATAATATTCATTCAACTTTACGAAGAAAATGTATATTTTCCGAAAGTAAAAACAGATGATACAAAACTTATCATGACAATCACCCTAATTAGTAATCTTGAAGTAAAACATGACACATATATATGTATAGCAATACAAATATACATTATTCATAAATGATACATATCAAATACACTTACATTTTCTTGGGATCTTCCATCCACCTTGTTTTAGATTGCAATATTCCTATCTCAGAGATAATTACAATATTACCTATTGTGATTGAACTCACCGTCGTTCCTAAATGATTGTATACCTCCAATTTGAAGCTGCTATAATATGTGCTATAAATCATCTCAGATATTTCAACAGAGAATTTGAAAGAAAATAGTCTGTACGGAGTCGGACTCACTGACTGACTGACTGACTGACATGGCCATGCACAGCTCAACATGGCGTCTGGCGTGTGCGTTCGTTTTGCGCATGTCTGCGTCACACTCACAGGTCACAAAGATATCTCATGAGGATATCAATGTGAATTATTTAGTTAACGTCGAAGAGATGTAGTTTGAAGAAGTCGCTGCCACATTACATAGTTTCCTGGTTGCGATGTCACTTTGCGACGTTGATATCGAATCTACGTCGATAAGATGTGTTAACGAGATATTGCATTTATGCAAGGTTGTTACATCACACAGATGTTGATGTCACACGATGGTTGGCTGGGAAACGGTTAGCTAATTCAAGAAAATGCAAGAGACTGAAATGTATGATTTTTTAGTGGCCAATTCAACGATGATGTTTGAATTCAAATTTTTTTCGAGGAAATAGAAAATGTTTGCCATCAAATCTGTATGCAACCCTCATTCACCCCTTTCGATTCGAGTTACCTTATTTTTGAATCAAGAAATGAATAGATCGTCTAAAAATACAAGTGCCTGTGAATTTTCAAAATATTTGATGCATAATTGTAGCCACAATTCAAAATTTAAGATTTTTTTTGAGCATCTTGCGATGTCTGTAGCTTGGAGGGGGTGGATTTTAGGACACATGTTTATAGGAAAAAAAAATCTTATTTTGACCCCAGGAATATGTCATTAAAATATTTGTATTGAATTATGTAACACCCTGTATAATTTGTATAGACTGATAAAATGTTTGTTTCAGTAATGAGCACTACGAATCCTTCAATAGTAAAGAAGGCCACGATTTCCAAAGAAACTACCCCCGAAGAAGAATATGAAGAAACCCTGATGAGTAACATCGCACTATCAGACTATGAGGTTACTGGCGGAAATGAAGTCACTAATAACGCAGAAGTTTCAAACAAAGCTGATGAAATCATGAATGAAAAACTGCAAAGTATTGCTGATGATCTGCTCAATCCAGAAAATTTCGAGGCGACATTAGGTACTACACCAATGGAAAAACTTCATTACGTTAATCTCTATCAAGAGACGGTGAATGATGAATACACTGAAAACATTGAAGTTTCGGAAGATAATGAATTCACCGTAATGAATCCGGAACAAAAAAAGAGAATGTTCTCAGTTGCAGACGAACTTCTCAGAGATTTCAACAGTTCAACTAAGTCCAAAGTAGACCTTCCATCCACGGAATATGTGGAATCGTCTGCTAGCACTAAGAAACTAAAACCCTTGCAACCTAGTGAAATCCATACCAAAACATCCACCATAGATACTAGAGAATTGCCTAAGAAGGCAACTGCAACGACTAAACATAAAAAGAAAAATAAGTATAGTAAAGAGTGGAGAAAGTATAACTGGGACGTAGAACACACTAAACATCCCACAACTCGTGAAGAAGATTCAACGGCAGTTTCAACTAGGAATCATTCCACTACAACGTCAAATACAACTATTTTATCTTTTTGGGATTCTGCAGATGAGGATACTAGCAGAGAACCGGATGATTATAATTTTGTCTCAGAGGTATCTTCAGAAACAGTTGACGATTTGAATAACGAATCAACAAATTTCACTTCTTTTGAATATGATGGTAGCATGACATTACCAACTGTGAACGAAACTGACAATAAGGAGAAGAGAATATTGTACAGTGTAGCAGACTTCTTGCTGAATACCAAGAATTTTGAAGCAACGTTAGGTACTACACCCGAGAAAGACATTTTCTCCGAAGATAGAGAAACGATGATAGATGAAACACCTGAATCTAATACGGAATTGGAGTTAGGAAGTTTTATTTTCTCCTTGAACTCAAATGGAAGTGAAAATCTTGGGACTACTTTTGAAAATATGGAATATTCATTTACTCCAGACTTGAATGAAGATAATTTGGTAATGGCAGAATCTTCAGTAGAGCCAGAATTCTTAACTGAAGAAAATACTGAGGTATGTTCAGCATTACCTAATTTTATGTGTATGGACTGAAAATGTTGTTCAGATAAGAAAATTGAAGGCTTTTCAACTCTTTTTTGTAATATTCACTAATAAGTTACTCATCATGAAGTAATGGCATTACGGTATATTTTATATGTAGGTTCATATACTCAGTAACTGTGTTATCCTTCGGCCTATTTTCGAAAAACTGCTTTGGAAACAACATTGTGACTTCCATATAGGTTCAAATAATTCAAATCCTAAGAAAGACACAATCAAAAACATAATGAGGTTGAAATAAAATTTGCCCTCCCAAAGCTCTACACTTCAGCAATTATGACGTCACCACCAAAGAGGTTTCCACAATTACGCATATTTCGATGATTTCAATTGTGTTAAGGTGACGTAATCGATTCTTTTTTATATATTCTCCATTCAATTTTCTGATATTACTCTAGAGTGGCGACAATAGTCTGGTCGGAGGTCATCTGTCATCTACATCACATGACTTCCGTTAACAAATGCCATCACTTCGAATCAATTAACAACTAATATTGACAATTGACATGACCTTTGACCTCACTGGTGCTTTTCAGATTATTCGACTGTGGAAGGCTAAAAATAAATCTATTATTTTGGGAATATTTACTAGATTTTATCTAAGAAGTAACTCGTTGGCTTATTTCAAGACTGAAAATTTACATGGACGTATGTCCTTACTTGCTGCATTTTCATGGTCTCAAGCATTTATTCTATTCGGTGGTGGACAGATTCTCTTCAATCTAAAATTTTACTATTCATTGTTATCGAGTAATCTCGAAGGGTATCTGTAATAGTCTCGAAGGATTATTTATTTTTTCTCGAATCTCCAATCAAAATTAAACAGAAGGAAATTTTTTTCCACAAGTGAATTCTCTTCCGTATTTTTGTATATTTTGGAAATGTCCATAGCATCCTATCTTTTGAGAGAAAAAACAATGGTAACACCTATTGTCCCCACTGGAATCTGCCTCAGCTGACTCAACCAACTATTGTTTTTTACATACTTCGTAATTTACTGAAATATCTCGAATTTCCATCGAGCAGTTCTGTAGTAATTGAAGAAAATTTGAACTTTTCTTTTTTCAATTTCAACACCCTGTATTTCGAAAACTGATCAAATTGGGAACTTTGAGTCCTAAAATGATCCAAGAATTAGCCTCCTCCCATATGTTACATGGTATATTTGGAATATCTTGTGTATACTTTTTTCTCATTTAAAGGTCAGCTTGTAGATATATAAAAATATGAAAAAAATATCTCCTATTATTGGAGCCCTGAGATGTCCCAAGCTGGATAAAAAAGCTGCAAATATAATTCTATATTCTCATATTAACTATTTGATAAATGTTTGGGGATACTGTCCAAAAAAAAATTTTAATAAAATATCTGCATTATATTAAATGACATTGAAAGTACTGTATCGTTTACCATATGATACACCAACAAATCAATTATATAAAACAACTGAATCATTCTCATTAGAAGAAATGTTCAAAATTGAAAGACTGAAAATTACATACAATATCATAAATAACAGATTGAAATCCAATTTTATTCTAACACGAAACAATGAAATTCATAATTACCAAACTAGACAACATGGTTTATTCCATCTTGATATCGCTAATTCTTCTACAGGCCAAAAAAGATTCACCCACGCTACTCTCTTTGAATATTGAATATAACAAATTACCAGATAATATAAAAAATTGCAGAAATACAATAAAATTTAAATACCAACTTGAAAAATTTATCATTTCTGAACGAAATAGATGATTTTTTTTTTCAACTTTTGATTGATATTCAAATTGATTAATATGAAATGATTTGTCAAAATTCAATACCTAATATTTTCAAATATTATATAATTTATGAGTTTATTGTAATTGTATAGTTTTACGTATTATTGTTACCTATACTTCCTTATACCAGAACTTAATTCTGACTGAAAGTCACATTCTCAATAAATAAATACAAGCCTAGCTTCATTTCCAGAGAAATATTAGCAAACTATATTTCAGGCCGTTACAATAGCCTGACTGAAATTTCGTGTGAACCCCAAAAATTAAAGATAATTAAGACATTTTCAGAAACCACTCGTATGTTGAAAGGACATCAACCAGAACATGGGGAGATCAAAAATGAGGAACTATCAAAATTGTGTTTGACAATGAAAAGTAAGTCAATAATTATTTAGACCATTTTAGACCAATGATGTGTCTGACCAATTGATTTTCAGAAAGAGAAAGGAACTCTCAGAATACTCTGACAACCAAAATGGGAAAATCTGATGTACATTTAGATTCACAAACAGGTGTGTATTCCTAATCTATTTTAGTTCTTTAGTTTCTTCAGAGTCTTCCAGTCAATAATAAATTCTCGTCTAAACTTGGTAGTAATTAAAAATTAAAATAAGTTCATAATAGTAGATTGTTTCATTAGGATCAAAAGTGACACTTTGTTTGACAGGCGAATTTTGCATTTGCGAGGCGGAGCGTTTAGCGAAGCCAAGCGAAAGCAAAATTTGCGAGTCGAACAAAGTCACTTTTGATCCGAATGAAACATGCTATTTTTTCTGCAACCGAAACAATTAACTCAAATAAAGATGTGAAGTAACCACCAATGCCGTGCTAAATGTAGGTATGCAATGCAACAAATATTGACAAATAATCCATGTGGTGAGAATATTCTACCTGCATCAACACTATCAACAGCAGGTTAGGTCTTCTAGGATGTTCGAATTGTAGTTTCAATATAAATACAACCACAGAGTGACATATTTTTGTATGGACCAGGTGCTCTAATGGCAAATATCGCGCCAGTGCCATCTATAGGAACGAGAAGTGGAAAATGATAGTTTAGCGAGCATATCAACTAAATATCAACAATGATAATAGTGATTATTTATTACTCGACATACTACACTGTGTTTGATTCGGTAATCAAATGAAGCTAAACAATATCATTGTTTGAGACAAAAAACTATTGCTTGCCGTGATTATTCAAAAACGCAAGCAAGTATTTGAATCTTGAAGGCTTTCCTGATCGGAACAGAAATACTTAACTGAGATGTTTTATAATTCCAATACTGAACTATAATGAGGTGTATTTATATCTCCAGCATGGGTATGAAATGCCAAATCTGCTGAAATTGGAAACAAATCAGGTATGCGTCTCAACCCAAATAACCAACCGTCACAATGTTGTTTATTCTTGATGACGTCCAGTAGATTCTTTTTAGTTCCTAGGAGCTAAAGTTCAACTTTAGCTCCTAGGAACTAAAATTCAAATTTAGCTCCTAGGAACTAAATATGTTGCCTAGCAACATACCTATTTTTGTGTCAGTAATAGAAACGTCAATTTAAGAGCTAATTTTGGTATCAAAATGGACGACTTTTGTGTCGGTTGCAGAAAAACAATATAATAGAATAGGGGTATTCTGGGTCTCCATATTTCTCTTCCTATATGAACGAAAAAGACGTTTCGTTTGTATATTATCTACAGATTCTACAGATTGTATAAAATAGTAATTCACGTAACAAGTCCGGAAAATACTGTTTCTTTGGACGAGTAGACAAAATTATAGGCCGAGCCGTAGACGAGTCCTGGAAGTCTGCGAGTCCGAAAAAACTGTGTTTGGACATGTTGCGTACACTATTTTTTCGGCAACCATGATAAACGTTTGGGGATCTTGTTAAAAAAATCATTTCAGTAAAATATCTGCACTTTAAAAGAAAGCACTGAAAGTATTGTACCGCCTCTCATTTGATATCCCAACAAATGATCTGTATGCGATAACAGAAAAATGTTCATTGGATGTATTATATAAAATAGATTCTCTTAAAGTTTCATACAATATAATAAACAATAATCTGAAATTCAATTTTGTTTCGATAAGAAACTCAGAAATTCATTGTCATCACACGAGACAATTAAACTCATTTCATCTTGATTCTGCTTCTTCTATAATTGGCCAAAAAAAATTTACTCACGTTGCTCTAGCTAAATTTAATAAATTACCACATAATATATAACACATTTCATAATTTAAAATTGAATTAAAAAAACACATGATTTCATTACGAAATGGATAAAATTGATACTTTGCCATCTACTGATTAGTCCCTGTGGCTATTTTCATGACTTCATCGATTTAGCATTTTTAGATTCTTTGATTTTGTTGTTGTTGTTGTCACCTTATATTATTTTATTATTGTTGTTTGTAATCAACTTCCTCATACCAGAATTTTATTTCTGACTGGAAGCTGGTTTTTCAATAAACGATAAACAATAAACAATAATGAGACACATTTCCATATTATATTTCTTTGTAGAATACAATTTCTCCTTTAATTCTCATTTGTATCAAATCTCCGCTAAGCGTCGTTCTGCAATCGCGTACTGAAAAGCATCACTTTCCGCACTTGTTAGGTAAACTACTATTGTAAATATGTAGTAGGTACATACATACCTATTTTCAGGATTGAAAGCTGTGGTTGAAGATACTATGCCAGAATTATATATATTTCCAACGGTGAAGATAGAGAAAAAGCAGATCACTAACGAAGAATATGACTTTTCCTGGCCTGATGAATTCATGAAAAGAGTTAAAGCTAAGAAAGTGTCATCACAATCACCAAGAACTACAACAGATATGTCTAGAAAGAACCATTATACTGAAGAAGTCGACTTCTCCTGGCCAGATGAATTCGAAAAAAGAGTCACAGCTGAAGCACGAATATTGACAAAAAGTCCAACAGACAGTCCCAAGAAAAATCATTACACTGAAGAAGTACCCTTTTCCTGGCCAGATGAGTTTGGGAAAAGGATAACAGCTAGGAAAATGTCATCACAATCTACTAAAACTGTAACAGATGATACTAATAGGAATCATTATACTGAGAAAGTAGCATTATCGCATGAATTTATGAATAGGAAAGAAGATAAGAAAAAATCAACACCATCGACTGAAACTATAACAGACAAGACTAATGAATTTGTGAAAAGGAGAAAAGATAAGAAGACGTCAACACACTCGACTGAAACTATAACAGATAATACTAAAATGAATCATTATACTGAGGCTGTCGCATTTTCTTGGCCAGATGAATTCGGGAAAAGAATAACAGCTAACACAAAAAAAGTATCAAAAAGTCTTACAGGTGGTCCCACGAAAAATCATTACACTGAAGAAGTTCCTACTTCCTGGCCTGATGAGTTTGAGAAAATAATAACAGCTAAGAAAGAATTATCACAATCCCCTGAAACTGTAACAGATGAGACTAATAGGAATCATTATACTGAGGAAGAAGAATTTACTTTGCCGCATGAATTCCTAAAAAGGATAAGAGGTAAGAAAAAATCAACAAAATCGACTGAAACTATGACAGAAAAAACTAAAATGGATCATTATACTGAGGAACTCGCATTTTCTTGGCCGGACGAATTCAGGAAAATTGTAACAGCAGAGACAATACCATCCCAATCGGCTAAATTTATTAAGGATAAAACTAATAAAAATAACCATTATACTGAAGAAATCTCATCTTCCTGGGCGGATGAATTTCTGAAAAGGGTAACAGCTGAGAAGAAAACATCACAATTGACTAAAACTATAACGGATAAAACTAACAAGAATCAAAACACTGATAAGAACACATTTTCTTGGCCAAAAGAATTCGAAAAGAAAGTCACAACTGGAACAAATGATGAGTCGAAATCGACACAATTTGTGGAAATAACTATTCCAGGTATGTATACCCATAATAAAATTATTGATATTGGGTCGACTGATCCATTTTCATTTACAGGAACCACAAAGAGGATCTACCACGAACCCATCGAAGAACAACTAGAAGAGTTTGCTTTCACAAACAAACTAAATGAAATGACATTATGCGAAGCATGTGTTGATGAGCGATCGAAAAATACGACCACGACTAATATAGGTAGGTTGATAAGCACGTTAGCTTTTACAGAAATTAGATCAGATTGATGTATAACGATATTTTTCCAGGCAATGATGAACGAGTTATTCCTCATCATACACATGAGAAAGAATCTGCTGGACCAACGGCAACAACAAAATTTCAGATTGAAGAAACTGGGAGAGATGGTATCAAAACAACTACATCGTCAATAGATTCCCCACTTGTAAGTGATAATTTAGAGCTTAAAGCACATATGGAACATATTGTAGAAAATATGACTGAAAACACAGTCAGTGAAAATATGAAGAAGAAGATAATTACTAAATGGTTCGAGGAAAAACCGAGTTCAGAAAAATACAGAGAATCTATCCCAACGATATCAACTGACGCTAATTTCCAAGCTACGGGAACTAAAATGATGACTGGAGAAACTACAGTAGTTACTAAAAATAATAACTCGAGGAAAAGAACTACAGCACATAGAAAAGGGACATTTTCAACATCAAAAATTGATGTGACTAGAAGAAGCTTCAAGCAAATGATAACTGAACAGTCCAATGAATTGCAAACCTCTAGGCAATTGAATGAACTAGAATCTGAAAGAACGAAAGATATCGCTCATGAAGAAGAGGATATGAATGCTCAAACAATCTCTTCAACTGCAACTCATGATTCAGTATACACAAAAACAGAGAAAAACTTCAAAAAAGAATATTCAACTTCTAGGACACCTGAAGCAACTGAAGCTGAAACGTCAATATCTACTACATCTCCAGTATCTAAAAATGAAAAAACTCCAGAATACTCTGATGAATATGTAGACACCGAGGAGATAGGGCAAATAGATATAGTAACATCTTCTGAGAACGTAACTGCCTCTACAAAAAGGAATACCATAGGTTCGAACAATTCCGAAACGATTGCTGAGATACCTGAATTTTATACTGAAGAAGCTGAAACAACGGGAGGAAATACATCAGCAGATTACTCTAAACAATCACCTATTTCGATAGAGGAATGGAAATCTGAAGACACCCGGATTGGAATGAGATCAACTGCAGAATACTCTGAAAGTTTTTCACATATGAACAAAAGTTCAGAAGCTGAAATAACTGATTTGCCTGAGAGAGAAACATCTGAAGAGAATGGGGAATTCCTATTTGTGGATAATCATTCAAGAACTCCAGAGAGTATGATAGAAAGTGTAACAAAACATAAAGAAAATACTACAACTATTATCCAAACTACCAAACATAAATTCGATGAAAAATCTCTTGCTCATACACAAAAATCATCAGTTTCATCCAGTACTGAAATACGATCTCCACTAAAATATAGTGAGAACTATTCATTGGAATATGGAATAGCTGGATATTCTGGGAAAGTAACTAGTAGTGTATCAATTACTCAAGAGTTAGAAACAAATACATCCAACCTCACTAATGAGATTGAGGTAAAAACAATATCTGAAGGAAATAGGGCCACCAACATATTTTCCATCCCAGTAGAACCTGTAGAAACTGAAAGAACAGATCGGATTAGTTCAGGAAGCGAAGAAATTGCTGTGGAGCAACAAGTGTCCATGAGTAAATCAAGGACTACTGAAATATCCTCAATTCCAGCTGAACCGCATGAAATAGAGTCTACAGAAACTATTACTGAGTATCCAGTTGAGCCAAATGATTCACAATCTCTTGGAACAAAACTATACCCAAATGAAAGATCTAAAACTGAAATGACTGAAATAGATCATCATATCTCAATTGAAACACAAAAAGCAGAGAAAACTCAAAGTTCATTGACTGAAGAAACCAGTGAAGGCTCCTCGACCTCGATAGTTTCTGAAACATTGAATGAAACTGTCACTCGACAACCTGTATTAGGAACTGCAACAAGAAATATCAAACAATCCTCCACAGTTGCTCCGACCAAGAAAATAGTAGAAACTTACTCTGAATCTCCACTGTTAGATATGACTCACGATCAATATTCAACAAACACTAGAGATACTGAAGAGCCTATATCCGAAGGAACTTTAGGAAAAACTGGAAATATCATAGAGGAAATTGGAAACACCGAGAGTGAATTAACTGGAGAATATATTTCAGAAAAATTCACAACAGTAGGATATGAAGAAATTAAAAACATTTCAATATTCACTGTTATGGCCACTGAAGAATCGAAAATAATCGGAGCAGAATTATCCTTCATTGATACATCTTCCTCAAAATCAGAATCATCGCTGGAAAACGAAGTTCATAATTCAATGCAAAGTTCAAAACATATGATGACTACTTTGATTCCAAATGAAATTCTAGAATCAAAGTCAACAATACCAGGGATTGATGAAGGTACTGAATCAGAAAATCTTGAAACAACTAACGTTTTAATCGCTACGAAAAATGATTGGTTGGTATCTAGAGAAACTGGTGAAAAGCACATGAATATTGAGAAAGTACCTACTAAAGTACACACCCAAGGATTGCCAACATTAGAAGAAACGTCAGATGATACAGAAACCACACCAACTGATGAATCTAGACATAACACTTCTCTAAGTACCGAACAGGTTTCACAATATGAAAAAACGATCATATACCATGCTAAAATATCAGAATCACCCGAAGTAATATCAGAATTTCTGATATCTGGAGGACGTGAGAGTACAGAATATAATGAGAAAATCACAGAATCAACCAGAAATATATCGAGATTTCCAACGGCTCTAGATGTTGATAATAACAACTACATCGAAGGCATCTCAGAATCAATGAAACATGTATCAAAAACCTCGAAGACTAATTCAACCGATGAAAATGTTGTAACAATTGCAGGAATTAGTAAAGGAGTCTCTAAGTCAACCAAAAGTGTCTCGAAATCAAGAGTAACTGATACATCAACGTACATTGAAAATATGTCCTTAGAATCCACTGAAGAATCTGAAAAGGACCATAATGGTATTGAAGGATCGGTATCGAATGCTCAGAATTCTAAGAAATTTAGAAGTACCGAGCATACGGTAGCAATCTCCGAAACGATAAAACTGCTATCAGGAAGTACAGGTAGTGAACCAATCGAAGGATCTGAGAGAGTGTATACAGGAATCAATGAAAGAGTCACAGAAACTGAAAAAACTGCGGAAAGAATAACTGAATCGTCGGAGATCAGCTCAGAGTTACTTGAATTTTCATGGAAGCCTGCGGAATATAAAGGAACAGATAGTGAGAGCACAACACATGAGATTTTCTCAACTGAAAATAATGCAGAAACAGAAACTGAAATGTCGGAAGTTTCAAATCCTGAAATAGAGTCCACTAAACAGTCATATACATCGAATTCTCAAAGAGACATCCCTGCAAAATCTCAGGAATTCAAAACTACCAGAACACATCATACTAAACTATCTTCAGTAGTAAAATTACAACATGAACTAGAAGAAGCTGAAAGCACAAAAACTGGAAGTTATGAGTTGATTACAAAGTCAATAAAACCTGTTGGATTTGAATGGGAAAAATATAATGAGAGTACATCAGAACCATCAAAATCTACAAGAAGAGCAGAAACTATTCCTAAATCAACCAAAGCTGATGATGTGTCTGAAAATCTAGAATCGAAAGAATCTAGTGATATTACTGAACATTTTGAAATAATATCGATACCATCAGAAAAAACCCATGAATCCGAAGTAAACGAAACCACTAAAATGAATAAGAAAGAAACAACAGAATTGCCTGAAATGATTTCAAAACCATACAAAAACCATATAAAACATACTGAACGTCTAGGTGATTTGAACCAAATTCTTCATTTTACTAAAAACCACCTGGGAACGACAAAGACGATACTCGATAAATACACTAAGAATCAGGTAGAAACGGATAATCATGACACTAACGAGGAAGCCACCACGTTGGTAGTAAACGTGCCAGAGTCTGCCGAATCTACTGAAACTGTTTCAGATGTTCCAGAGATAAGCATTGAAACTACATATTCAGCAAAATCATCACCAACAACAATATCATTCAAAAAAGATGAAACTGGATTTTCAGAAACCATTGAAGAAATCACTCAATCAATAAAAACAGGAACAGTTCTTGAAAAATATAAGATATTAGAATCGACGTCATCAAAATTAGTGTTTCCAACTAGTAGTGAAATCCTAGAATCCACAGACATTGAATCATCCAAGGAAATTGGAACGAAACGGCAATCTACAGAACCAAGAAATGAAACAAATGAGGCAGAATATTATCCGTCTCAATATCAAAGTGAACAATATACTAGAACGATCTCGTCCATTGAACCTTCTCTTGAAAATGAAGAAATTGCAAATACGAAACTTGAAGCAAACACTCCTGAACTTCAAGGAGAAATTTCCAGGTCGACCGGAGGATCCTCTGAAACTACAGAGGAATTCAGACACGATGAATCAAAACTCATGAAATCTGA